ACAGAGAACCCAGAAATGGACCCAAGGCAATATGCTCAATTAATATTTGACAAAGGTGGCAAGAGCATACAGTGGAGTAAGGACAGCCTCTTTAATAAATGGTGCTGGGAAAATTGGACAGCTACTTGCAGAAAAATGAAACTAGACCATCAACTTACACCATACACAAGAAAAAATTCAAAATGGATAAAAGACTTAAATGTGACTCATGAATCCATAAAAATCCTAGAAGAAACTGTAGGCAACAAAATTTCAGACATCATGCGCAGCAGAATTTTCACTGATACATTACCTAAGGCAACAGAAACAAAGGAGAAAATGAACACATGGGACTACATCAAACTCAAAAGCTTCTGCACAGCGAAAGATACAATCATCAAAATAAAAAGGCTACCCACTCCTATGGGAGAGCATAATTGCCAATGATATATGACATAAGGGGTTAATTTCCAATATATATAGAGTGCTCATACAACTCCTGAAAAGGAAGACAAAGAACCCAATTAAACAATGGGCAGAGGAACTAAATAGACACCTCTCTAAACAGGACATACAAATGGCCAAGAGACGTATGAAAAAATGCTCATCATCACTAATCATCAGAGAGATGCAAATTAAAACAACGAGGTATCCCCTCACACCTGTCAGAATGGCTGCCATCAACAAATCATCAAACAACAAGTGTTGGCAAGGGTGTGGAGAAAAGGGGACTCTAGTGCACTGCTGGTGGGAATGCAGACTGGTGCAGCCACTATGGAAAATAATATGATGTTACCTCAAAAAATTAAAAATTAAACTTCCATTTGACCCAGTGATCTCACTTCTAGGAATATACCCTAAGAAGCCTGAAACACCAATCAGAAAGAATATATGTACCCCCATGTTTGTAGCAGCACTATTTACAATAGCTAAGATCTGGAAACAGCCCAAGTGTCCATCAGTAGACGAATGGATAAAAAAGCAGTGGTACATATACACAATGGAGTACTATGCAGCTGTAAGAAAGGAAGATCTCTTATCCTTTGAGACGACATGGAGGGACCTGGAAAGTGTCATCCTAAGTGAAACAAGCCAAACAGAGAAAGACAAGTATCATATGACCTCACTTATTTGTGGAATATAATGAACATAACAGTCTGAGAAATGGGGTAGTCCCAGAGACGTGGAAGTGGGGTACCGACTGACAATCCCCAGGAGAGGGGGTGGTGGGGAGAGATAAACCACAGAACTTATATGCATGTATGCATGAGCAATGGACATGGACAACAATGCTGGGGACAGGGCGGGGGGGGGGATCAGTGGGGGAAAAAGGAGGAACATCTGTAACAAAAATAAATTAATAAATTAAAAAAATATTGCATTAAAGTGTTAAGAAACTTGGCTACTGAGATTCCTGTAACCCTTATGTCTTGTGCTCGAGGAGGTGCCCCACTTGCTGTGCCCTGGCTGCAGCCCTGCCCAGACCCCCAGTGACCGTCATACTGAGGGCCCGCGCTGCGCTGGGTAAGGAAGCCCTGGCGCTCACGAGGGCGTCCGGGCAGCGAGTGGAGTGGGCTGGTTGGGTTCCTCTCGTTCTCCAGGCTAGCTCCTGTTTCCTCCTGGACGGAAGAGGCCGGGGGTAAGGGGAGAGGACCGCAGCTGACGCAGCGTGTCCCCGGAGTCAGACAGCATCTCTGCGGGGGTCCACGGAGTCCCCATTTCTTAGAGATTCTGTTTCTCAACAATCTTGTCTGTTCCAGGGAGGTGACTCTGTCCCCTCACTTCACTAAACAAGGCTTCCTGGCTGGAGCCCAGACCTGCGTCTGTTTCTGCTGTCCCTGGGTGTCCGGCGGTGGCCGCAGGGCCTTCCTTCCACATTCTGACCTGACGCTCACCTCATCCTCTCTCCTGCTTATCCCAAAACTGGGAGGCCTCGGCCGTGGTGCACTGAGTGAATTGGCCAGCAGCAGCCGCAGGTGTGGCTGCGAAGTGACTTCTGTCATAGTGACTACACTTAGCGTGGCTCTGACAGCCACCTCGCGGGCCAGGACGCGGGCCTGACGGGCTGCCTCTGTGGGTGACCGGACGGCAGCGTGATGGGGACACAGCGACTTTCAGAGTCTGGAGGAAATCCAAGGAGAAATCGTGGCGTGGGAAAAAGAGCTTGTTCAGAAGAGGGGTCGCAGAGGGAGAGAGAGATCTGGGTGCCGCCAGCAGAGGGCTTAGCCACGTGTCTATTCAGTCACATTTCGCTGAGCATCTGCCGTGCCAGCTGCTGGGGTGGGCACCACGGCGTTTCTTCACGGAGCCGGCAGTTAGGGGACAGGTGAGTCTCCGGACCCGCGGCCGCGTGGGGAGGGGCTGCGCTCTCCCCGGGGCACGCACGGAGTCCGGGGCAGTTCGGGCTCCAGAAAGCCCCTGCAGGGCGTCCCGGAGGAGCCTGAGCATCAGACAGACGGACACGTGCTCAGCTCCTCACAGAGTCCACCGTGAGAAACAGCCGAGACGCGTCTGGGTCTACCTGTCGGATCAGCTTGATGACAAGGACACGGTGAGGAGGGCGTGTCACTCCGGCAGGACTGCACGATGCAGTGTGTGGGGGCACTTTCAGGGTGAAGAGCCTGAGACCCGCACCGCCGTTAGGCTCAGCGGTTTTCTCTCAGGAACTTAGGGATGTATTCACGCCTGCTAGCACCCACGCGGCCAGGCCTGCGGTCCACGCGGCCGGAGAGGGACTGGCTGGGCACCACCTGCAGGGCCCTGTGGCCGCCACCCAGACATGAACAGTGAACGTCTTCAGCAACATGAAAATATTCATATGTTTTTGTGACAAAAAAGAAAATGATGAACTAATTTATTAAAAAATGGATTGAGAGAAGACGGTTGTGATTTTTGAAACCAACAAGGGGCCCATCTGTAGAACAAACTCTCACAGAGCAAGGGAAAGACAGGCAAGGACGGACGGACAGAGTTCCGAACAGTGAGTCTGCCCACCAGCAGATCCAAACGGCGGGCGGGCCTGGAGCGATGCTCGGCCTCACCCGCAGGTCAGGGACCTGCAAACGGCAACGAGGGACCACCTGGCTGCAGTCAGGTTGGCGAGCGTGAGAGAGCTGGGTGGGGCGGAGCAGGGGGTCTGCTGCCGGCTCTCTGGGGGCCACGTGGCGGCTGGCACAGCTGGACTGAGCGGACACGCGCCCTCACTCAGTGTGCCTGCCCCTGTGTTCGCGCCCGAGGGCAGGATGGGTGCGGTGCGGGGCGTTGTGGTGATGTGGCCATTGGCACTGCGGCGTGAACCAGTCGGATAGGCAGGCGATGCCGCTCGGTACGTGGGCAGCGGTTAGCGGGCACGGAGCTGGCAAACAGCCACGTGGGTGGGTCTGAAGACATAACGCTGAGAGGAAAAGCGAGCTGCAGAGAAGGCGCAGAGAGCGTTTGGGAGGGTCAGACGGGCGCTCAGAACCCGCACTGCGCCGGCTCCCAAGGACCCGCGGATCACTAGGCTCAGTGGGCAGGCGGGGGACGGCAGTGGGGGTGGCTGGAGGGCCGAGGAGGAAAGGACTAAACTAACAAAGCCAGAGGAGACTGGCCCAGGTCAGGGAAGAGACTGAGTGGGGAGTGAGGCGTGTGAGGCACCACCTGTCCCTAGGTGTCCCCCCAAACAGGAAACAAATAACCCCTCCCCGCCCCAGCCGCCAAGCAACCGAAACAAAGTGTAAATAAAAAGTTTTCCTTGACGGCATCCTTAGCTTGTTTTTGTTAAACTCTATGTTCACAGATAGAGGCAGGGCTATCAACAGTCATTTTTCTGGGTCTGGCCCAGCTTGATATCCTTGCAAGAGTTTGCTCCTTCCCAGTTTTCAATGTTGCACTTACATATCTTTTGTAGAAAGAAAATGATTTCTGCCCTGGCCGGTTTGGCTCAGCAGTTAGAGCATCGGCCCACAGACCCAAGGGTGGCGGGTTTGATTCCCAGTCAAGGGCACACACCTAGGTTGCAGGTTCAATCCCTGGCCCCAGTCCGGGTTGAGCAGGAAGCAATCCATCGATGTGTTTCTCCCTCCCTCTGTCCCTCCCTCCCACTCTATAAAAATATCCTCAGGTGAGAAGTAACAATGACAACAACACAAATTTCTGAAAATGAAGTTTGAGGAATAAGTATGTGTGATAGAAGACGATCTGGGGGGGGGGGGGGGAGGAGAAACACCTGTAACAAAAATCAGTTGATTAAAAAGAAGACCCAGGGACACGTGGAGTTTGCACACCAAGAGTAGAACGTTTCAGAGGGTGGTGCGTGGCTGCGTGATCCCCAGCGAACTCCCACTCAGCGCACAGTGTGCGTGGTCCAGCTGGAAACAGCATGATGCGCCCCTGCTGTCTAGCCCGGGGCAAGACGCCAACCCCAGTGGGCCTCTCTGTGTGTCCACCTCTGGCTGCCGCCCTGTGCTGAGTGATCGTCTGCTGGCCGGATGCCGGGCCGGACCCCACGGGGTTCACTGTGGCTGGGGTGGAGGGCTTCTGGTGGGGGCCTGCGCAGTCTGTCATGCTGGAGCCTCCCGCGCTCGGCACCCAGACCATCGGATCTTTCTGGGCTGGGTCAGTCAAGCGTGGGGGTTTCTGAAGTCATTTTGAGGACAAAGTCCTCCAAAAAATATTTGCATGTGAACTAATAACGCCGAGGAAGAGTCCTTTAGGCTCATGGCCGGAGGAAGTTATAACTGAAGGCTGGAATCACTTGCTGGTGCAGACACTGGGAAGGTGACTTTCAGTGTCTCTCGGGGAGCTCGGTCCTTGGAAAGAGGAGCAGCTTCAGGCCAGAGGGAAACGGGCTTCGGGGTGAGAGGTTTGACTACAGCTAGACTCCCAGCTGCCTCCTGCCTTTGGCGAGGTGCTGCCTTACCTCCTGGGGAACCGGGGACCCGGCTCCCTCGGGAGACTGCGGAAAGCCAGCGCGTCAGGTTGTCGGGATCTGCGAGTCTCTCTAAATCCGAGCCTCCTCTGAAAACGTCTTCCTGTTTCAGGCATTTCGGGTTCCGGAGGAGCGTCCAGCAGGGCTGGACCGAGGGGCACAGCGGGCGGCGCTGTGACGGGGCCTTTCACACCTGCTTGTCCTCGGACTCCAGTCTGCTGGCCGCATGGAGGCGGCCCCTGCCGCTGGAGACGGGACGGAGGAGCCGGGCCCCAGGGACGAAGGCCAGCCTGAGGCTGCTCGGCCTGACTGTCCCCCTGCAGGGCAGTCTCAGGGCCCCACGGCTCTCTGGGAGATGGTGGAAAAGAAGTTTCTGGAATATCGGCAGCTGGCTCCCGGGAGCCCGGCGGAACGTCACAAGCACCTGCTGAGTCTCCTCCCACTGTTCCTGAAGGTGGGTGTCCTTGTCCCCGAAGTGTGTCGTCTCACAGTGCGGGGGGTGCTTGTCGAGCGGCTGGAGGCTGAGCTGGGTGGTTCCAGCATCATCACGGTGGCCTCCGGCTGCCTCGGGGCCAAGGGAGGCTCGTTCCAGGGTGAGGAAGGGCTGGGAATGGACGAACAGTTCACTCCGGAGTAATATTGTCACTTCCGTTAACAAAGTTAGATTGTTCGGCCACAGTCCCAGAGAAGAGACCGCTTCCTTTGGGAGCTGGGCAAGGAAAATGTCTTGAGACGTGAGTCCCAGGGACGGCTGGTCATTTCAAACTTCAGGCATGCCAACCCGGGCCCGGAAGGGCCAGAACATCGAAGTGTGCCAGTAACGCAAACTGAGGTGCAATCAGTGGGGACACCACCGCGGGGCTCCCCTCCCTGGTTACAGACACTAGGGACAGGTCCAGCCGTCCACTGGGCCAGCACTCTGGCTAGTGGCAGCTGGGACAGCAGGGGTCCAGGGGTTTCCCTTGTCCCGGAACAGAGCCCCCGACAGTGAGGTCTGCCGCACAGCAAATACATTGAAGGCTAGTTGTACAGTTGGAAACACATCGTTTCCTGAGGACTTAGTGTTCCCTTGACGACTGATTTTGAGTTATTATTCAAAACAATATCCCTGCAATCAAAGAACAATAGAATGTGAGATGTTTTTTACATTGAAAACAGACTGAGATAGACCGAGGCTTGGGCAGGTGTTATCGGGAACCCCCTTTGTTCATGATTCATCTAACTTATTAACCAGGAATATTTAAGGATTTCCAAAGATGACTCAGAATCTTCTTGGGATCATATTTATGAGGCATTGAATACTTAGGCATGTTTTTTGTAAAAAAAAAAAAAAAAGCCAAGTAACTTATTGTTCATTAAGTCATTTTCCTGCATGACTTGGACTTGTTTACCCTATTCATCCCCTTTCACAGCCTGGATAACGGACACAGACAACGCACTGGAAGAGAAGGACTAGGTTAGGAGAGGGCTCACGTGTTTTATTTCCAGCTTCCCTGCCCGACAACCTCGTGATTCGGGGAGAGCTCCGTGTCCCCCAGTTCCAGGTCCACTTTGCCTTTGGAAAGGGAAACTGAGCAGCCTCTGCCCTCACTGCGGTTCCTGGGGAGCGTGTGTGGGTTCGCCTGTCGCGTGTCTTTCCACTCAGCTAAGCAGCCGGGCTCACGTGACAGTGCCGGTGTCTGAGCGCCAGGCTCGTCCTCGCTCATCCTCCCGAAGGCTGATCTGAGAGTCCCTCTGCTCACTGCACACTCCGTCCTGGGGCCCAGGTCGTGAGAGTGCAGACGACAGAGGCTCTGCCCCACGGAGGGTTCGGTCCAAAGCAGAGGGTGCTGACTTGCACAGATGGGTCGTGTTTGGCTCACAGGGGTTAGAAATGAATTCTTGGCCATTGTTTTCAAAATGGAAAACTTTCCCCTGACAATCAGATTTCCAGTTTCCCTAGAAAATGTTGGGAGCTGTGGTACCAACACTCATATGGAGATGTTAGGGCTCCCCTCTCAGACAGAAGATGACCTCGGTCTCTCAGGTGACCCTAGTCCCCCACTCCTGACATCTCCCACCCAGGGCACCTCCTTATGTCAGCTGACCCCATAGGCATCCGAGCTCGCTTCCCCATGGGTAGCAAGCAGCTCCTGTACCAGTGAGCCTTGGTGTTGGTCCCTGATTCCCAGACCGCGCCTGGCAGCTGGAGGCACAATGGCCTGTGGGACTTCTCATCCCAGAGGCAGGCTCAAGCCCTGGGGCCATCGCTGATCTGTGTGCCTTTGAGCAACTTACAACACATCATGGAACCCGTTCCCCTCTGCGCAGTGTGCTCAGTAACACTGTGCTGGGAGCCTGAGGGTGGATGAGACACACAGGTCGTCCAGGCACAGCCCTGTACTTCCCCCCAGCTCCCATGCCCGTGGGGACCCTGACCATGATCACCGGACCACTGAACCCCTGCTCCGGCTCCCCGGCATCCGAGCCCTGGAGGGCAGAGGGTTCCGGGGCTTTAACCATCTCGCTCGTTAGCTCCGACCTGTCTACCGCCGCGTTCTTCCTGCTGAGCGCTGGCTGAGAGGACCTGCCGGGGGAAGGTTCCCGGGAAGAAACACGGGGAAGGAGGGAGGTGTCCATCAGGTGTGGTGCGGATGAGACCAAAGCGGTCGATGAAGACGGAACATCCATGGGGACGCAGGCCCCTCTGTTCCGGATTTCATAACCGTAAGACAGTGTCCTTCAAGGTCGTCTGTGAAGGAACCTCAGAAACATCAGGACTTAGGACGTTGGCCATGGCCTGTAGACCGGGGCCTTGACATCAAGCCTGAGGCAGTGTTGGTTGTCATGGAAACCGCGGCCCAGCTGGGCTCAGGCTCTGCTGAGCACCGTTGAGGGAGCCCTGGAATACTGTTTGGTGGACCGCAGTCTCTACACCTGGCTCTTTCACGCTGGGCCCAAGGAAATGAAGGTGACCTGGAAGAGTCTCTGTTCTAAGACAACGAGCATCAGGGATTCTGAGTTGTCTCCCTGCGTGGAAAGGGTGTGTCCCTGGTAGTGGAGCCTGTGACACTGGCCCAGACTCGATCAGCGAGACCCAGCATGGAGGGGGCCCATGTGCAGGCAGGGCCTGGGCGAAGGTCAGCCACATGTGCCCACCTCAGTGGTCACCGGCCATCCCGCGACGTGCTAGCTGGTGTCTCGTGGAGCAGACTCCCTCAGGGCCTTCGGTGGCACCTGCTCCCCAAAGGACTTCTCTTTAGCCGCTGGCTTTCTCTCCTAGCTGACTCCTCCAAACCCACGGAGAGGACACGCCTCTCCCTCACCCCGTCACTGTTTGCACGTACGTCTGCGTGAACCGCCAGGCGAGCACAGACGGGCTGGCGGCTCCACCTTCGATCCCAGCCCCCGTCTCATCTCCAGGGTAGAGAACTGTTGGGTGCTAAGGACTGGACGACTCGGCATTCGGGCTGCTGTCTAGGGAATAGGGTTTGCCTGATGGGCACTCAGGCACTGCAACCCCAGCAGGAGCTGCCCTGGGGGAGGGTCAGAAACAGAGCTCCCCCAGGCTCACCCCTCCCCTTCCGAGGTCAAAGAGGAGTCCTAGCCGGGCTGACAGCGAGTAACACGCACCAAGCTCTCCAGCGTATTGTGTGGCGTGTGCAAGCCCTCGCAACAGCCTTGTGAAGTGAGTGCCATCTCATCCCAGCGTCACAGACAAGGAAAAGAGGTTAGCGGGCAGCCGATCCAGAAGGGGGTTTGGTGGCCTCACGCAGGAAGAGGTGCAGAGCCAGTGACTTCTCGGTGGGCAGAGCGGCGCTCTCAGGAAAGGGCCGATGGACTATTGTCCTTTCCTGCCAAGGCCACTGGGCTGTGTTCTTCCTGAACCTCCCCCGTCACACCCAGAGCAGAAAGCACTTCTCTGGGGAGCACGGGCAGGGCCCGCTGGCTTTCCCTTGAGCTTCCAAGGGGGGGGCACTGCAGCTCCCTCGGTGCACAGACACACCCCATGACCAGAGCCCTGGAGGAAGCTGGGACTCTAGATGCAGTTGCTGAGGACTGCTGGTCGAGTGCATACTTTGAGAGGAAGCCGGCAGTGAGAGAGGGAACCCCCAGCCATCACCTCAAATCCTCACAGTCTGGGACAGACAGCCAGGCCGTGGGACAACATGGGAGAAAATAAAAGGAGGTCCTGGGTGCGGTAGACTAGAGATGTTGCAGATGGGTTCCCACCGCTGCCTTTGAGAGGCAGCACCATGTCCCCTTCTCCAGATCTGCCTGGGTGTGTGATGGCTTAGCTCATGGAATGGGCCAGAAGTGACGTTTCCAGACCCAGGCCGTGTGAGGCCTGTAGTTTCTTCCCGTCACTTGGAATATCCACACTTAGAACCTGCTGCCATGCCGTGAGGAAGCCCAAGCAGCCCCGTGTAGAGCCCGTGGAGGGAACCGAAGCGCCTGGTCTCGCAGCTGCATTGCTCCAGCAGCAGCGCCAACCTGCCAGGCCTGGGAGGCACGTCTTGGAAGTGGGTCTCTCAGCCCGTTGGCTGCCGTAGCTGAGTGAAGCGGAGAAATACCTGCCTGCTGAGCTCTGCCCAAATCGCAGGTCCATGACAAGAAGAAATGCTTGCTGTTATTTTAAGCCACTCAATTTTGGGGTGGTTTGTTATATAGAAAACCAGAACAGTGGGTGACATGGGGAGCAATGCATTCATTTCCTAGTGTGAGGGATTGAAATGAATGCTCAGTAGATTGCGTTTGGAAGTAGGATTGGTGGGTGTGCATGTGCGGATTTGTGTGCATGTGTGTGTGTGCATGCACATGCGTGTGCATGTGTGTATGTGTGTGCGCGTGTGTGCATGCACACACGTGCATGTACACAGGCATGTGTTCTTAGGCTAACTGCCTGGCCAGTGGTGCCGGGTTTAATTGTGGTTCCTCATCTCGTTAAAAACAAGTATGGACCCAGCTGACAATGGATGAGAGAGAAGTAACATTAAGGACAATAACAAGGATGACCAACAATTATTTCCAAGTGTGGTGTCCACAGAGGACGGTGAGGGTCAGCACCCCTCCTTGTCCATCCTTGACTCTACACTCTCAGAGTGGGGCCTGCAACATGATTTATTCCCATTTTGGGATAACAACATTTTTGTTGTGCTAACAAGATTTGGAGGCATCACTTTTTTTTTTTTTTACAAAGGAGAGAATAACTGTGTCACACTAGCCGAGGAAATTCATGTAAAGTCTCAAAAATGTTTTCAGCTCCCCTAAAGAACAAACCCCTAAAGTCTGAGGTGATGAGCAAGTAGTGATATTGCTGTCAAACTTGGAAACCAAGAAGGCTGTCTGTCATTCAAATGCCGGGTTTCTCCCTCTCCTCAAGAGCTTGTGCCTCATGTTCCTTTGGAGACCAAGCATCGTTTTCCTTCTCTGCCTTCCATGTGAGGGGACAGCCATGAGGCATGATGGCACAGCTTAGCTAATGTGAGTGGGTAGAAGTTCTTTAAAATATTGAGCAATATTCTCCCAGCATGCAAGTCCCAGTCTGGGGGAAAATGTAGGTCCTTTTGGAAGTTGCCTTAACTCCTGGGGTCTCCACGGTGTCGTTCAGTGAACGATTGCCTCCGTGCAGAAAACAGCACCCCTGTGGCCGGAGGCGTTGCGGCTGCTTCCAAAGTGCCCATGGAGGTCCCAGGAAGGAGTGGGAGCCTGGGGAGCATCTTGCTGAGTGTACAATTACTGTTCAACTCACAGTGGCCCAATCTGCGTTATTGTCGAGTGCCTCCTGCAGCCCCACTGCTCCGAGGCGAGCTGGATGCTTCTGAGTCAATTGCCTGCAAAGTGGTCTGCAAGGGCTTTGCCAGTGCAGGGAGGAGGTGCCACGTTTGTTAGGAAGACATCACAGCAGAGCCCTCATCCTGGGGAAGGAGATAATCTCGCCACAGACGTTTCCAGCCTGAGGACTACTTGTTGGTGTCAGGGATTCCAGTTTCCAAGTGAACGCTGGTTTCCAGGTGGTAGCCATACGTTTATTTTCTGGATGTGCGCATGCTCCTTAGGTATGCGTGAGGGGAATCCGCTCCCCACTCTGGGGCTTAACTGGTTGTCTGGGTTTGCCCTCTGGCTCAGCCTCACTTGCTGTCCAGGGTGGTGGAAACAGCACACGTAGGTGTTTGGGCCAGCGTTTGGCTCAGGACCAGCACCCGGTGCATTTGGCTATCACTCTGCGTGCTGCAGGTTTCATGACCACATGTTCACTCACCCAATATGCACTGAAGGTCTCTGTGCAGTGGTGCTGAACATTCATCCAGCGTTTTCGTAGTTTCAGCGAAGTTCTCATGTACTGTTTTATTTACAAAGGAAAGGGGCAACTCTGCTTATAGGGCAGAAAATAAAAACACTTTTCAGATACAATTTTTTTTTAAACAAAATAAATACCTAAGTACTCCCCACCCAGGTAAAGTGCATCAAACATTTCAGATACACTAACGGCACCTGTGCAGGTGTTCAGGCGCTCATTCACCTTCTGCACTCTGGTGGAAACCCTTGTCCTGCTCAGTTACCAGGAATATGGACATGTACACACAGTCACGTGGGGTTTCGTAGACTCAACGTTGTAACATTCTTCTGTAACTTGCTCTTTCCACTCAACATTCTCTGTCTGGGGTTTATCTGCACTGGTACATGTAGCTCTGCTTCTTTTTTGGTTTTACATAGTATCCTTATATAAATATGCCACAAATTATTCACACATGGTCCTGTTGATGAACATCATTTTTCCAGTTTTCCACAATCACAAATACTGCTGCAGACACACTTCTTGTCTATGTCTCCATGTGCACACGTGCCAACCTTTCCTTAGGGGGCACAGCTGGGAGAGCAATGGCCGGGTTTAGGACATGTGCCCTTCAACTTTCTTGGATCGGTAACTACTTCTTCGAAGAGGTTCTAGGTGTCGCTGGATCAGTACAGCAGGGGCTTCCGGGGTCCGTCACCTTCACCCACATATTGTGAGGCTTTTCATTTTTACCAACTTGAAAAGCATTAAATAGCTCATGCCGTTTTCATTTGCATTTTCCTGATTATCGGCAATTTGCTACTTATCTTTTATTAGTTACTTGTTTCATTTGCCTGCTTTTTAAAAGTCAGTGTGTCTTCATCTCACACAGGTGATACTTTCCCTTTGTCAGTTATATGCGCTGCAAATATTTCCTACCCACCTGTGCCTCGCCTCCTCACTTTGTATCAAGCATTTTTAACATAGAGGCGATTTTTGAAGATTTTTACTTTTTAGCGAATATAGCATCTATACCAAGGAAACACACCGAAATGGTTTCCCTTGGGAATATGATGTTCTCACTTTCTGTGGAAGGAGGGCCTCAGGTTAGATGCTCGGCCGGGTCTTTGGGCAGGAATGGGGTTATTATGTCTAGTGCATGGGAGTCCAGCAAAATCGCATTTTAAAACGTGCACAGCGGCCCCACTGCCGGTGCGAGCCTGGAGGGGGCTCCCTGAACTCGAGCCCTGGCCACGGCCAGTCCATCCTCCGGAGAGTAGGCCTCTCTGGCCCTGCTGGTAGCTGACATCTGACCACATCCTGTTGTCTGCATGCAGGCCTGGGAACACTCCGTGGGGATCATCAGCTTTCCCAGTCTCCAGAGGCTGGTCGAAGATGTTTCCCACCAGCTAGCCCAAGAAATACAGAAGGTGCTTGTGGGAAAGCCCGCAGGTAAGGGGAGAGGGGTCCTGGAGCAACACGGGAGAGCAAGACGGCGCTGGAGTCCTCGCAGGCCCCTGCTCCGCCCCCGTCTGCTTCTGGGGGACGTGGTGTGGTGGCCCAGGCCTGCCACCGAGTCCCTGGGAACAAGGGAAAGGCCAGCAGAGCAGGGAAGGGGGGCTTAGGGGGCTCTGCTGCTCCGGGGAGGGACGCACGCGGGAGGCACGCACGCGGGAGGCACGCACGCGGGAGGCACGCACGCGGGAGGCACGCACGCGGGAGGCACGCACGCGGGAGGCACGCACGCGGGAGGCACGCACGCGGGAGGCACGCACGCGGGAGGCACGCACGCCTGGAAGGCACCACGGTGAGGCACGCACTGCTGGAGCACTCACGCTGAGGCACGCAACGCGGGAGGCACGCACAGGCGGGAGGCACGCACGCTGGAGGCACGCACTCGGAGCACTACATGGCACCGGGCGGTGGAGGAGTGGCACCTGTGTTCAATGGCGAGCTCGATCCGGACGAGACCTGAGGTCAGGGCATGTTTGGGTTGTGGGTGTCCCGTGAGCTTGCTCCCCCGCGGGGCCGGAGGCCGGGCGCCTGGCTGAGGAGGGAGCTCCGAGGAGGACTAGCGAGCCTGGCGCACACTGCAGGGCTCTTGGCCGCAGAAGGGGCCGTGCGAGGCCGAAGTGAGGCGAAGACGGGACTGTGGGAGGTCGGTCGCGGAGGGACCCCTTCTCCGGTAGCAGTGGGGAGCCGTGCGCGGCTGCTGAGCAGGGGTGCCCGCAGTGCCTGAGAGGCGGCGCAGATTCGGGTGGCACTGCGGGCCGGGCAGGCGGTGGGCGCCCCGACCGATGCCAGGGTGCACTCGTGGGAAGAGGAGCCCGGGGGGAAGGCTTCCGCGCCCCCCGCTGGTGACACTTCCTCCACCCGCGTCCCAGAGCAGGCGCGGGCGGCCGCCAGGCAGCTGCTGCGGTGGAAGGGCGACTCGGACCAGGACGGCTACCTGCTCCTGAAGGCGGTGTTCGTGCTCACCGGCGCCGACTCGGTGAGTCCCGGGCCGGCCTGGCCTCCCCACGGTGACCCAGGGGAGTCTCCGCTCCGGCTGCGGGCTCCGGAGAGTCTGCCTTCCCGTGACACTGACCTCCTGCCTTTCACTTCGGAAACTCGGCTTTGCCTTTGCGGCCGACGCCGTGTAACCGCAGCGACCCGCTTGACCTCTGTGACTGCAAGGCCTCCCTCTAGGGCGGCTGTGCCCCTGTGTCCGGGAGGGGCTGGGCGCGTCCCCCCCTCCCCCATCCCCCGGGGCGAGGACTCCCTGCTGTGTAACCCGGCTGTCTGGCTCCAGAGCCCGAGCTCAGAGCCACAGCTCTGTTCCTCCTCCTTCAAACTCAGAGCCACACCTGTGGGCACCGGTCCGCCCTGCTGGCCCAGAGACGTGCTCGGAGGAGGCCTCTCCCCTTGCCTCCCCACCCGCGCCCCATCCTGGCTGTGGTCATGTCCTCCCACTGTGGAGAGGGGCCTGGTGCCTCCTCCCTGAGTGGTCTGCGGATGGCTGCTGTCGTCTCAGGCAGAGGCCGTGGCCATCAGCAGAACTGGCAGCGGCCACCTTCAGGCAGGCCAGAGACTCATTCGTCTGCCCTGTGTTGGGCACGCCCACTGTGATGGGACTACCTCGAGGCAAGGGGGGCAGCAGGGGCAGACACCCACCAGCCTTAGGGAAGTGTGTGTGTGTGGGGGGGAGGGCCACCTGGCTTTTCCTCCATGCACATGGCGGGAGCCCTGTCGACATAGCAGCCCGAACACAGCAAGGCTCCCTCTCCTGCTCCTGGGAAAGGATGTTTTCAGTCTGAGCAGGAAAAAGGTAACTTGAAGGGGGCTCTTCCGCTGTGACAGCCAGGCCCAGAGCAGTGAAGGAGGGGAGCAGGGGCTTTCAGGGGCACCAGCGGAGCAGGAGGACAGGGGGAGCGCCCTGGGCTGGGTCAGGGCTGCACAGGTGACAAGGACAGGCAGACACTACCCCCAACAGGAGCTGTTAGGGCAGCGAGGCCAGCCTGCCGCCTGCGATCCCTTTCTGGCCTGTTTTCCTTCTGCTCTTCTAGTTTTGTAGACAATCTACTTTAGATGAACCCCACAGGCGCGCACAGGCACACGCACACGCACACGCGGTCGTCCTCGTGGAGCCAAAGGGAGAGCGCAGGGAAGAAAGGCCCCAGGAGCTCCACTGAGGCTGGTCTCTGCCAGCTCCCTGTCTCTCCCCCTCCGGCAGCCTGGGCGCTGGTCTTCGCTGTCAGTCACAGGAGGGTGTAGACCTGATGAGAGGGTGGGCGGGGCCTGGTCAGGTGCCACAGTCAGTTCTTTGCACTTGTCATGAGCCAGCCCCCCGACTGAGTCCCCATGTCCTGCTCAGCGGAGCCATGGCCGGGACAGCCCTGTGCTTGCCCCGCACCAGTCTCCCTCTTCCCTCCCTCTTCCCTCCCTCTTCCTCTTCTTCCTGCCAACTGTCTGTCTGTCAAAATGGAGCATTTAGAGGGCACACAGCACGCACCTGCTCCGAAACTAACCCTCCTCCCCCCACTGAGTCCTGGACAGTGGCTGCCCGAGAGGAGGGGACAGCGAGCGAGGACGCACAGCCCACAGCGCTCACCACTGCTCTTCCCTTGCAGGAGACGCTGGGCAGAGTGGCTGAGTCCTGGACAGTGGCTGCCCGGAGAGGAGGGGACAGCGAGCGAGGACGGCACAGCCCACAGCAGTGCTGTGCTGGCCCCGCGGCCTTGGCCCACTCACCACTGCTCTTCCCTTGCAGGAGACGCTGGGCAGAGTGGCTGAGTCTGGGCTCCCAGCCCTGCTCCTGCAGTGTCTGTACCTCTTCTTTGTCTTCCCTCCGGACAAGGACGAGCTTTTGGAGAATGATGTGCAGGTCCAGAGGATGTTCGTGCAGGTGAGTGACAGGCGGGCCGAGCGCTGGGTGGAGACCACACCCTACCCCCGAGATGCTCAGTCCGCTCCAGGCGCCCAGCTCACGCTCTGCCCACGCTCTGCAATCCCGAGGCCGGCGCTGGCAGGCGGGTTTTCCTCTTTGTGTCTCTGCATCCACGCCGTGCCCCTTCCCAGAAGGCGGGCTCCTCCTCAGCCCCTCCCGCTCCCGCTCCCGCTCCCGCCTGCACCCCATCTTGCTGGCCCTGCTCAGCATCTGGAACCTCTGTCTCTGGCCCCTTCCCCTCCCCTCTGAGCACACTAATGACACTTGCATACCTGTAGCCAGTGTTTTCTGAGCACTGTCTTGGACCTGTCGCCTGTCACCCCCGGGAGCCCCTCTGCCATCCCAGGATACACGTAGCTCCATCTCCCTAATTCTGTGCAAACTACGGTGCAGTGAGGAAACATGAAGTCTGGTCACGGGTGGGGGCTGGGCGGGGGCCGTGGAATCTAGACCCAAGTTCCTCTCCCCCGAGTGAGCGTAGCGCTATCCTCACGCTCTGTCCACACGGGCAAACCACGCGGCAGAGCCCACCTGTGCTCATCAGGTCTTCCTCGTTTCCTCCCCCGGAAAATGTGAAGTTCCCGGGTATGGCTCTGTGCCAGGCCAACAGTCCCCTCGGCAAGCAGTCCCCTGTCTTGTACAGGTGACAGACAGAGGGTGTGGGAGCCAGTGGGGACAGTGTCCAGTGTGTTCAGTACTCCGGAGGAACAGGCGAAGGTGTGCCGGGAACGAGGGCAAGGGCACTGGTTCACAGGGAGCTTGAAGGAGGCTGTTCCGAGGGCGCGGACCAGAGCTGAGGGTGGGGAGGAGCTGTAGGGGGCGCAGTGGGGCAAGGAGCAGAGATGGTCATCCACCGAGGCCAAGGGTCACCGAGGCCAAGGGTCACGGAGGCCAAGGGTCACGGCCAGTCCCAGGGCTGCCAGCTTGGACCCGGTCACTGCCGGAGGGCCAGTGGGTCCAGGTGGAAGGAGCTTTCCATACTCACTGAACTGGGAGGAAGTCCAGTTAAACCAGCAAGAGCCAAAGAGAGAGGAGGCAGGGTGGGGGGTGAGTCCCAGCGGAGCTCTGTGTGCCAGGACACACCGAGTGGACAGACGGTGTCCGAAGTCCACAGGGAGACTGGAGTGGTGGGGACACGGGCTCCAGTTAGGTTACAGTACAGGGTTTAGGAATACACTTGCTTGCTTGCTTTTTTTTTGTTACAGAATTTTCTCCTGATTCCCCCTTCCTCCTCCCTCCCCGCCCTGTCCCCAGCTTTGTTGGCCATGTCCATTGTTCATGCATATAAGTTCTATGGTTTATCTGTCCCCCACCACCCCCTCTTCTGGGGATTGTCAACCTGTACCCCACTTCCATGTCTCTGTGACTACCCCGTTCCTCAGGCTGTTATATTCATTATATTCCACAAATAAGTGAGATCATATGATACTTGCCTTTCTCTGTTTGGCTTGTTTTGCTTAGGATAATAACTTTCCAGGTCCCTCCATGTTGTCTCAAAGGATAAGAGATCTTTCTTTCTTACAGCTGCATAGTACTCCATTGTGTATATGTACCACTGCTTTTTTATCCATTCGTCTACTGTTGGACACGGGCTGTTTCCAGATCTTAGCTATTGTAAATAGTGCTGCTATGAACATAGGGGTACATATATTCTTTCTGATTGGTGTTTCAGGCTTCTTAGGATATCTTCCTAGAAGTGGGATCACTGGATCAAATGGCAGTTCCATTTTTAATTTTTTGAGGTAACACCATATTGTTTTCCATAGTGGCTGCACCAGTCTGCATTCCCACCAGCGGTGTACTAGAGTCCCCTTTTCTCCACACCCTCTCCAACACTTGTTGTTTGATGATTTGTTGATGGCGGCCATTCTGACAGGTGTGAGGTGATACCTCATTGTTGTTTTAATTTGCATCTCTCTGATGATTAGTGATGTTGAGCATTTCTTCATATGTCTCTTAGCCATTTGTATGTCCTGTTTGGAGAGGTGTCTATTCAGTTCCTATTCCCATTTTTTAATTGGGTTCTTTGTCTTCCTTTTGTTGAGCTGTATGAGCACTCTCTAAATATTGGAAATTAACCCCTTATCTGATATATCATTGACAATTATGCTCTCCCATACAGTGGGTTTCCTTTCCATTTTGGTGCTTGTTTCTTTTGCTGTGCAGAAACTTTTGAATTTGATGTAATCCCATGTGTTCATTTTCTTCTTTGTTTCTGTTGCCTTAGGTGATGTATCTGAAAATTCTGCTGCGTATGATGTCTGAAATTTTGTTGCCTACAGTTTCTTCTAGGATTTTTGTGGATTCATGAGTCACATTTCAGTCTTTTATTCATTTTGAGTTTATACATGTGTATAGTGTAAGTGGATGGTCTCGTTTCATTTTTTTGCATGTAGCTGTCCAATTTTCCCAGCACCATTTATGAAAGAGGCTGTCTTTACTTCTGCTTTTTAAACAGCACTGGTTCCTGTCGGTTCTGTGTTAATGGTTGATGCCATTTTCCTGGCATTTCTACATAAAACGACGCCTGTCTAAGTCCAACACTTCCTTGTTACTCTGACCTGGAAGGGTAACTCTGCTGCTATAGGGTGTGAGTGCAGACGCCCCGCATCCTTTTCTAGGGGGCATTGTTGACCACGCTGGTCTGGGCACAGGTGACAACATACAATCTTACTTTTCAGTCAGGAACAAACCCACTGCAGTGAGGAGGCTTCCTAACCAGTCTTCGTGGCTTTCTCTCCCTCTCTCTCTCTCAGATGTTGCTCAACATCTGCAGTGAGTCTCCGGGGCTGGAGGGACTCCTCTCCGGGAATGAGCTGCAGTCGTTACTCATCGCTACGACCTGTTTTCGGGAGCACAGCTGCTGCTTTTGGAAGGAGCCTACCTTCTGTGTGCTGAGGGCCATCTCCAAGGCCCAGCACCTCGGCATCATCCAGTACCTGCAGAGTGAGTGCGGGGCCAGGGGCTGGCTGTGGGCCCAGAAGGGAGTTCTGCAAGGCTGACTCCAGGGAGGACATTTTTTTTTTTTTTTTTTTTATCCTCACCCGAGGACATTTTTCCATTTTTGTTCAGGTAGAGTGGGAGGGGGAGAGAGGAACAGAGAGAGAGAGAGAAACATCGACGTGAAAGGGACACATCGAGTGGCTGCCACCCACACAACCGACCAGGGCCGGGGACAAACTGCAACCGAGGTACATGCCCTTAGCGGGAACTGAACCCGGGTCTCTCAGGACCGCAGGCCGACGCTCTAACCGCTGAGCCAAACCGGCCAGGGCAGGGACAACATTTTGACAGAGGTTCATGGCAGCTGACCTTACCTGCTCTGTGGCATTTCCTTAGCTCACCACTACAGTGCCTCTTGGGGACACAGTTGTCCATTCTTTGGGCTGACCCCAAGGTATGGAGTCTTCTAGGGAGCAGGTCAGAGCCTGCCAGTGTGCCCTGCTTGTGCACAAACACTTGCCCTGTGGTCTGCCTTCTCTCGGGGCCTCCTGTAAGAGGGCGTCAGCCAGCCAGAGCCCCCCCTGGTGCTGTGGCAGAGCCAGACGAAACAGCAGACCAGTTCCAGGGGTCCAAGGTCCCGGGAGGCCAGGGCCCAGCAGTCACGGTCCAGGGCTGAGCTGGGCCTGCGGGCCTTGGCATCCCCTCCTCACAGGCTGGAGCTGCAGACCCTAAGAAAGGCTCTGTGCATTGGTGGTGAGGGGCCCTCATGCACTGTTCTAGCTGCAAAAGTTCTGCGCAGTGGGAGCCTGCCCCAGGAGTGCCGTACTGGAGAGCAGTGGGTGGTTCTGCAGGTGTCCAGGCTGGGGAGGGGGGGGGGGCTGGCCTGGCACCACCTGCCCAGCCCTGAACTCTGTGCTGTCCCGCCCACGGCTGACTGCCAGGCTCTCCCAGGCCTCAGGGCCCAGGACTGAGCACCGTGTCTCCCAGGCGCCGTTCTCCCTGACTTCCTGGCACTCAGGAGGCATCTCCCAGGGAAAGAGGCTGACAGTGATCAGTCAGAATGCAGATCCAGTGACATTTCTCCCGGGATGCAACTCTCTCCTGACTTCCCACAACCCTGGGGCCCTGGCCTGGCCAGAACTCCCGAGCTGGCCCTGCTGGTCCACCTCCCTGGGCCCCGCAGAAGAGACCCTCCGGGAGCTGACACTCCCCACCCTCTGCCCCTCACCTTGGCACACACACCTTACTCCTCCCGGCACTATTCCTCTGGCCGCTTCCGGCTCCCTCCAGTGCTCGTCCTTGGGGCCTCCCCAGGCTCGGGTCCTGGGTCCCGCATCCCGTCCCCAGTGGACCAGACCCCCCGCTGGCTCAGTGACTAGTGGAGGGCAGAGAGGCCTCCTCCCGTCCTACTGCTCTCCGGCTCCGCAGAGTGCGGCTCAGGTGGCGCTTCCCAGGGAGAGTTTTCTCGATCCAAGAGCCCGAAGGAAAAGTTTTGGATGAATTCCCATTCACATCTTCATACCCGGATGGGGCGGGAGGGGGGAGGAAGCCTGGCGGAGAAGCTGTTGCTCCTGAGCAGAGGGTGGTGTTTTCTCCTGCAGCCACGGACTGTGTCAAGATGTCCCTCCAGAACCTGTCCCGGCTGGCGGACGCTCTCCCTGCCCCCGAGCTGAGTGAGGCCCTGAGCCTCATCTTGGGCTTCGTGAAGGACTCCTACCCTGTCTCCCCGGCTCTGCTCCTGGAGTTTGAGAGCGGGGAGGGCTACCCGCTGCTGCTCCAGGTGTTCCTCCGGTAAGTGGTGTGCTCGGTGGGGGGATCTGCCAAACCTAGGCCCTCAGAATCATGGGGTGCTTTGCAGAAAGACAGACGTGGAGGCTTCTCCCGAGTGTCCTCTGAAATGCATATCTCTGTAGAGCATGGCCAGAAAGACTTTTGCTGCAGAAGTGATTCAACCTGCAGTGAGCTTGGGAGCCAGAGCCGTTGCCTTGGAGAACTGGGTGACTCTGATAGTACAGTCATCCCTGCCACTTCGTGCTTTGTCGTTTGCAGCTTCACTGTATTGCATTTTTCAAAAATATATTCATTAAAAAGTGGATTGAGACAGTAAAAATGATACAGCACACACTCAGTTGTCTGAGTCAATCATACACCCCTGTATCACAATTACAATTAAAATTACTGTTCGTGTGGACTGTAGGCCTATGTATTCAAGCACCCCAGGGATCATTCAATGCCAGGTGCCACCGCTAGAGTCTAGAACGGATTAACCGTGATAAACGAGGGACGACTGTAATTGTACCAAGTCCCTTTGGTGGCAGGTACCACTCGTATGCGGCCAGCCTGACAGGCACCTGTCAGAGCCCACTCCTCCATGCGGGGGCGCTTTCTGGAAGGCTGCAGGCTCCGCCTGTATGCTGCAGGGCTGGGAGGACCAAGGAATCAAGCCAGGAGCAGTCCTCAACCAGTGATTGGCAGAAGCTGATGAATAAATACCCAGCAAAGTTGCCTCTTGCAGGTGGGAGGGGGAGAGCCATACCTGCCTCCCGGAGTCCCTGGTGGATCAGTTGCCTGGTGAGGTGCTGGCTTGACAAGGCGTCCCTGCTTCTCCCCGTGGCTCAGAGCTTCTCCCCTACGGGCGCTTTGGGGTCAGTTCCCAAGCAAACTGTTCTCCCTTAAGTCCTCACCCGCAGGAAGTCAGATGAAGACTTCCGCTGGGTCAGGACTAATTCCTCTGACTTGCCGCGTCACCCTCAGCTCGGGTCCAGGGCTTGGATAAGCCAAGAGATGGAAACCAAAGCCTGTCAGGATTTCCCAGACTCCTCCACAGTCTCGGGGAGCCGCTTAGGGGCGAGCCCATGTGGGTTTCCGTGGCTCTGCTCTGAGCAGAGAAGCCCTTTCCCTCTGTGGGGTGCAGCTGGCGCTGCACTTCCTGGCCTGCACTCCGGCAGCCCCCCAGGGGGGGCGTGGGGCGTGGATGAGGGTGAAGTCGCTCAGCCCAGTCTCCAAAGGGGTGATTCAATGACACCTCGAGGGCCTTGTGACGCCACACTTTGCATTTGTCAGAACCTGGCCACCTGGCTACTGCCACCACGAGGGGCTGTCGGAGCAGTTCTTCGGCATGTGGTTGGTTATGTGTGAGGTTGGTTCACCCCATATTTCCCGTGGGAAGCAGGAGGGGAACTGAGCCCGTCCCAGGGATGCCAGGAAGGATCTTGCAGCTCACTGGTTTTCCTTCCTGCCCTAACTGAGGCCCACTGCGGACACTCCGCTGCCGTCATGGCAGGGCTGGGGAGACCTGGGAGCCCCTTCTCTGCAGAGCAGCGGTAGCCCCACACACCAGCAGCTGAAGCAGAAACTCGACGCAGCCTTGAAATAAGCATCAGGAAGTCTAATGAAGTCGAGTTATTTCCCATGACGTTTCTTTCGTTGCTCTTTGGAAACGTTTATTCCTTTTGGGGTGCTCCTGCCAAAGCACATGACTTTGGGGGACCCGGCCACGGAGAGCAGCTGCTGTCGCTCTCCCCAGTTTCTCTGGATTCTGACTGCGCGGCTCTAAGGCTGATTTCTGCACACTGTGGCTTTTCCCCAGGACATGGCCCTGGCCTTCTAGTGCTGACATGGGGAGACCTTTGGGGTCTCTCTCAGCACCTCTGTTTAGTCTCCGATCCCAGTGGGGAATGTCATGAGCAAGTGTACCTGCTTTGTCCCAGAATGCAGGGAGCTGGCCTTCTGTCCCTGCAGGTACGACGGGCTGAGCCTGAGCGGAGAGGACCCCCACTTGGAGGAGCTCCTGGGGCTGGTGGTGTGGCTGACGACCTGCGGGAGGTCGGAGCTGAAGGTGTTTGACAGCGTCACCTACCCCCAGCTGGAGGGCTTCAAGTTCCACGACGAGGCTTCCGGTGGGTCGTCCTGTGCCCCGGGTGCCCGGCAGCCGTGGGCGCTGACCCGGACAAGGCCGTACAGGCTTTTCCCCGTTCTTCACAAAGAACAGACACATGTCAGGGGCACGGCAGGCCCAGTCTGTCATGCCTTTGGGGAGATTGCTGTGGAGTGAAAAATCTCTCCTCCATAGATCTTTCTAGCTCCCCGGGCAGACTTCGAGCAGATGTTTGCTTGATCAAGGCGAACACTCTCAGGTAGCACAGGGGCCTCCGGTCTCCGCCACCATCTCTGCTGTGATGTCCTCTTGACATTCGCTGGTATAATGGGGACGAGGGCCCGACACAGTCACCCAAGCTCAGGGTCAGTGCCACCTCAGTCCTTTGGGATGCTGATGGGTTTATTGATGACTGACTGCCCCAGGCTGGGCCCCTGGTTCCTGTTCCCCGGAAATGCTCTGTAGTGACTGTCACACATACCTGGAACCCTGGTCCACTCTGCTGCAGAATATGCCTGACTTGACCGATGACGGCGTCAGGAAGCTGGTGACACCAGGTGGTGGGCCAGCGTGTGCATCAGGCAGGAAACCTGCACAGGGGCGAGGTGTGGGCCAGCTTCTGGTCTCGGCCCGAAGGAATGAGTCTTAACCTTCACGCCTGAGAGAAGGCAGGGGTGGTTCAAAATGTCTTTATTCAATAGCGTGTTTAAAAATGAAACAAACTTTGCTTAGTAATCTGTAAAATTATTTGATTTAAATTTATTAAAGCCAGTCTTTAACCCAGGGCTGCCTAGTGGGCACGGCGTGGATGACATGAAATCTGTAGGTGTCCTGGTAGCCATAGTAAAATACCAGCCAAGCAAATACAAAAAAACCAGCTTAAATTATTTTTCATAGTATATCCCATTTAACCCACTATATCCAAACTATTACTCTCTCAATATGTGGTCATTAGAAGTAATTTTTAATTTTTTCATTTTCATTTTGTTGCTGGCGTTGTTTTCTTGGTGTTGTGTCTTGGAGACCAGTGTGCGTTTGTACATTCATGAAACAGTCCCGAGCACACTTCGTGCTCCATGAGCCACCACGCCCTGGACCGCGCGACTCCGGTCTTACATGCTGGGCGCTGGAGCTCTGAACCGCTGGTGAACATTTCCCCACAGGGGCTGGAAAACAGGAACTTGCGTGCTATTTCCTGATGCTAATGAGATCTCGATGCAGCAGGAATGACTTGTCGGATCATTCCTGTCTTCACTTTCAGGGGTGACCGTTAAGAATCTGCAGGCCTTCCAAGTCCTGCAGAATGTTTTCCACAAAGCCAGCGACCCCATCCTCTGCACGAAAATCCTGTCGGCCGTCAGGGCCATGTGGGCCTGGAACGCGCGCAACTTCTTCCTGCTGGAGTGGACGCTGCAACCGATCTCGAAGTTCGTGGAGATCGTGCCCCAGAAGCCGGCCCAAGTGCAGAAGCATTTCTTCCGGCTGCTGGAGGCTCTGGTGTTCGAGCTGCACTATGTGCCCCACGAGATCCTGGCGAAGGTGCAGCGGCTGATCAAGGACAGCCCCGAGCCGCCCTGCACCCTCGTGGCCCTGCAGAGCGTCCTCAGGATAGCGGGTGCAGACCCCCTCTTCACAGACATCTTCCGGGACTCGGGGCTCCTGGGCCTGCTGCTAGCCCAGCTCCGGAAGCGGGCCAAGGTCTTGAGGAAGACAGGTGCGTGGACGCGTCGGAGGTAGGCGGGCACAGGCTGGGTGGGGGTCGGCTGGGCCTGTTCTGCGTGCCCACCTCGCTGCTCACCAACACAGCGGAGACAATGAGCATCCCTGTCACTGTCCCACGAGGGTCAGGTAAGGTCTCCCTGCGCGCATGACCTCACAGAGTAGCAGCCTCCCTCCTTTCCGTCGCTGGCTGATCGTCCCCACCGGGAGATGAGGGGTGGCTTCGACCTTAAACAGGTGTGTGGAGCCAGCTCGGCCGTGAGTTCTCAGCTTTGAGATGTTTTCTGCCTTAGATGTTGCCTGAGTGTGTCGATGGGGAGGTGGCAGGAGGAGGTTTTCAGTAATGGAAGAGGGAAGGGAGCTCAGAGAGCTCGGGGCTCTGGGGGACCAGTCTGGGTCATCTGGGATATGGCCGCCTGCTCACTCGGTGCTGTTGGGTCCCATGGTCTCCCATCTGGACCAGGGGCCATTGCTATTCAGCTCGGCCCCCCTGATTTGGGCCATCCTTTGTTTACCCTGCTGGCTATGTACCCACGCTCCTTGGCATTGCCCCCACCCCTGCTCGGCCCCACACTCTGCACCCTCAGCCGGACGGCAGGTCCCCTGTGCAGGGGCGTGCACTCAGGAGTGCTGTCTGGGTTCTCTCGCTGCCTGACAGCACCCGTGCACACTGCGGTTGTGCAGCCCCACCTCCACCGGCTTCCAGGGATCAGTGTGGAAACTCCTCTTTCCCTCCCGGCTTTCCCACCCCTGTTCACACCTGCTCCCTGGGGCTGCAGCTGGAGGGATAGCAGACTCAGGAATCAGCCACTTCCCTCTCTCCACCTTTGGTTTCTTCTCCTTCTCCTACTACACTAGCCTGGAGGGACTGGGGACCCTCTAGCCACTGGCCCCTTTTGGAATTTAACTCATACTCATACTCAAGCTCAAGTCATCAGTCTGTCCGCTTCCCAGGCCTCTCCCAGGGGAAGACACGAAGGGACAGCGCGTGGACACTGGGCCAGCCAGACCTGGCTGGAACCCTGGCTTTGCTGCGTGACCCTAAGCAAATCGCTCAGCTTCTCTGAGTCCCTTTCCTCCTCTGTGAAATAGCGACACACACACACACGCGCGCGTGCACACACACATGGCTGTTGTGAAAATTCAATGAGGAAATCTGGAAAGGGCCTATTGTTGTGCTTGGTGCACAGTAGGTGCTCAAGAAATGTTAGTCGTTTTGTCCCTGTGTAACCTGTGTCCAATGTGGAGGAGGAGGGATCTCGCAACCTTTTGGAGCCCAGGAAGGGCCCTTGCCTCCTTGGGGTGCCAGGGCCGAGCAGCAGCTGCTCCCGCCTTGGGATGTCCGGGCCCCCAGCCACGTCTTCAAGAGTCTTTTGTATCAGCTTCTTCCTATCGGTCTGTAGTTTTTTTGGTCAGTGTTTCCGTGTTAGCTTAGCTAAGTACTGCTTTTCAGCAGCCTAACATTGAATTCATTCCTAAACCCAGTCCCAGACCCATGAACATGCCCAGGGAATTCAAATGTTTTGGTGAGCTGCGGTATCTGACCCTACTTTGTGGTGTCTACCGTGAGTGTTTCTGGGATACACTGTCTCCTTGTTAGTAAACTCGACCTTTCCTCACTCATTATTCCCCAAATGGGACTGACTGCTGTGGTGTCAGGCATGTTCTGACTGGGGATTCGAAGGTGCGCACACAGGTCTGATTTGCCTCCATGGATCGGGTGGGGCCACCATCTACTCCAGTTTCCCAAGCACCTCCCGCCCATGTGTGAGCCGGCGGTCCTCTCTCCTCAGCACGAGTGTGACGCTACCCAGGTGTCCAAAGGGAGACCAAGGAGGCCGGGCTGCAGGCCTTCTAGGGAATAGTCGTTCCCCCGTGTGGCCCTCCCCCCCGGTTATCGGCATCAGATGTTAGCTTGTTAGAAACACAATTATAGGACTGCACTCAAGACCTCCTAAGTCAGAAACCCTGGGGAAGGGGACCAGCTCCTGGGTTTTAACAGTGCACCTCCAGGAGATGTCACTGTGGTTCAGGCGGAGAGCCACTGCCCTGAGGGGTGGCCGTCACACCTGGGCTGCGCCCCCTACATGGAAGCATTATACTCACCTTGTTTAAAGAGGACAGAAAACTCATGGAATCAGATTTGAGATCATACCACGTACATTAAAATGTTTTTGTTGCTTCTTAAACCTGGCAGGGAACCAAGCGTCCACGCTGGGTGTCCAGGACCCAGAGGGAGAGCTGACCGGCGTGATGCTGGAAACAGTCGTCTCGCTGCTGCAAGGCTCGGTTCGGAACGCGGGTGAGGACACGAGCTGTTCGTGGGATCAGTGTCCACGATCGAAGGTTCTGACTACGAAAGGACCAGCCCTGCCGTGTGGTCGATGGCCATTTGCTGGTTTACATTCAGCGATCACCAAATTTGTAGACACCTCTGTTTGCTTTTTTTTTTTATCCTCACCCGAGGACATTTTTCCATTTTTTGTTCAGGTAGAGTGGGAGGGAGAGAGAGGAACAGAGAGAGAGAGAGAAACATCGACGTGAAAGGGACACATCGAGTGGCTGCCATCCGCACGACCCAAGCAGGGTCGGGGACAAACTGCAACCGAGGTACACGCCCTTAGCGGGAACCGAACCCGGGTCTCTCAGGACCGCAGGCCGACACTCTAACCGCTGACCCAAACTGGCCAGGGCTCTGTTTGCTTTTAAAGTTGATAAATGAGGTTGTGAAGCAAAGGTACATCCTAAATTCATGAGACCAGACATCCCACACCCCACTTTTATCTGAAGTCCAAGTACCCTGCTGCACTGACTCTGCTCAGAAAAACCCAAATCATAAAATATAGGCGAAGAAATTCATCATTTCCATGAGTTAATTTGATGTGCTCCCAGCCTGTGTCCACCTAGTAGTTCCTTCCACCTGCAAGATGCTTTAGCTTCCTAAGATCATGCGACCTCCGTGTCGTTTTACAAAGAACCTGTGCATGGGACTGCTTGTATAGATGTCATGCTGTGAAGGGATGCACCGACACAGTGACTTCACTGGGATTGGTGATTGGAGGTGCCTCTGTCTGAGGCCCTTGTAGATCAACTATAACAAATGTGAATAATTCCCCATGGCAGAGGGGCTCTGCTGTTATACTGTCAAATATTCCTGGAGGTGCTGGTTAAAGTGCACATTCCTAGGCTCACTTCCAGACATTTAATTAGCAGCAGACCAAGGCAGAGCTCAGGGATCCAAGGGGGTGTCCGTGTACGGATCACCTGGATCATAACTGGGGAACTTGTGCCTTATGGAGGCGACCAGGCAAGTCCGTGTCATGCCGTTGGAGTGAGCCAGTTCTCATTCCGTGTGATCACGCCAAACACCAACCCTGGAAAACACATTTTATAATTACTTTTAAACAAAAACATGTTATCAGCCAAATGTCTTTAATCTCCCCTCTTCCCAAGAAGCTAGCCAGGAAGTAGATAGTTCTTCACTTCAATCCTGGTTTGCTCTCACTGAGGATTTTGGCAGAAAGAGAATTGTCACCAGCCCTGGATTAGGGAATTATGTGGAAATAAAGGGCAGAAGTATATCAAGTTAAAGCTTATATTACTTAGGTTTCTAAATTACAAAAAATAAAATAAAAAAAGTAAAAATATTTTTTTCTAAAGTCAGAATTCCCACTGGAGAAGATGTTTTTCTTTTTAATCCTCAGCTGTACAGTTTCTCTTTTCCTTTTTTCATTTTAACAGTGGGTATAGGTTTCTAATGGGCAAAAGAGACACATAAAAATGTAGCAATACAAACTTGGCAGTTGCAAGGACAGCTTTTCTTGTCCTTGAAGCTGAGGTATGTGGCCCCTGTCACCCAGCCCCATCTGTCTGTTGGGTCTGCAGTTGTCCTGAAAGACCATGGCATGGTGCCCTTCATCAAGATCTTCCTGGACAGCGAGTGGTACCGGGCGGCCTCCCTCCGCATCCTAGAGCAGCTCTCAGTGGTCAATGCTGAGGAGTACATGAGCATCATCGTGGGCGCTCTATGCTCGTCCACGCAAGGGGAGCTGCGGCTGAAACTGGATCTCCTAAAGGTGAGGTCAAGTCCTCTGTGATGGGCTTTACCCTGGACACGTGGCAGGTGCTCCTGCAACAACAGATAATCCCCATGTCCCCAATAGCCTGACACATTAGACATTTCTTTCTTATGTACAGTTCAATGGATGATTGGGGAAGGGTGTCATTTGGGGACAGCTGTCATCTGGGCGTCTAATCCGGCCAGCAGACATGGGCTTGGAGAGAGTGGAGAATTGCACCGTGCATCCTGATCAGGCTAGACCTGGCACATGGTAGCTTCTGTCCCCTTTTCTTTGGGTAGAACCTTGAGGGACAGAGGAGTGCCAGGAATGTGGTCCCTGTGCCCGGGCAGCGGCCTCGTCTCCTTGACAGCATTCAGGGAGCATCTAGCAATTCCCAGGCCTGGTGCAGAGGGCCTGTGGCAGCACGAGGGAGGCACCGTCCTCCACCAGGGGCTCCGGCCGTGTTCCAGAGGGCGCACCGAGAACGTTTGAGCTGGGCAGAGGAGCCGAGGGCAGTCGGGGTGAATGGTGGTGCCAGGGAGAAGCAAAACTGGGGTGCCACCTTGGGCAACAAACGGGGTATATGCTTTTTATTTTTGTAATATTTATAGTAATCATCATTATCCTAAAACAGTCACGATGATAATGATAATGCCGCTGCCATCTCTTCTTCCAGCTTTCACAGTTCTGTTGCTTTTCTTGCGATTTTATTCCTTTTGTCCTTGTGGGTTTATGCCTCTTACAAAAATCTTTCTTTCCAACCTGGCTGGTGTACTAAATGGTTAGGGCATCAGCCTGTGCACCAAAGGGTTGTGGGTTCAATTCGTGGTCAAGAACATTGAACTTAGGTTGCAGGTTTGATCCCCACCCAGGTTGGTACATGTGGGAGGCAACCAATCGATGTCTCTCTCTCCCCACCTCCTCCACTCCCTTCCTCTCTCTCTCTGAAAAAAAATGTAATGGAAAAGATATCCTTGGGTGAAGACTAACAACAACAAAAATCTTTCTTTTCTGACACGTTATTTAGGGAAAGAGCAGACATTCATTCACGGACCCCTGGGGCCTCGTGAACATGCACAGCACAGCTCACGTCAGGTACATGAGTGCCAGGGATGCCACACTGGAGGACTGGTAGATTCAAAAGCGACAAAGTGCTCTGACTTAAAAATTAAACCATCAACCTTGCCGATCAATGACCATCTACGAAAACTTATCAGACTGAATCCAGGTATTTGGCTTTCCGTGGAGCCAATGGCAGCCACGAAGCTGGTGCTGCCATCGCGTGGGCTGAGCCTGCGGTGGCTGGCGTGGCCCGCCTCCTGAGAAGCGCATCTGAAAGTGACGTGATGCCCATGAATGTCACGTGTTTCACAAATGACAAGAACCCACAGAGTGGTTTCATTACAGGGCCAAAGAAAGCACTGGAGGTGGTTCATAGGGAATAAAAAGGAAGGTTAAGTGCAACAGAAAGACACTAGAGCCTGTGACTGAATAAGGGAACTGAAGGGGCATTAAGGAGAGCGTGCGGGATCAGGAGTCAGTGACAGCTTGCATCTGGGAAGGACGTAGCTTCACGTGGCCCCGCCTTAATGTCCCAGCACAGGGTTTCTGACACTGAAGACGAAGCGGAGTTTGGACCTAAGACAAGTGACTGACAATTGAGAGAACTTTCCTCCCCTCCCTGCTGTTCCTTGTGCTTTTCCTGTGCCTGTGTTCAGCCTGGGCGCACGCCCTGCTGTGATAGGAACAGGGAGGCGTGGCCGAGGCAGGCAGGACTTGGAGTCCCCACCTGTGTCCCACATGCAACGTCAATCAGATCCACAGAGGAGAATGCTTGGAGAGGGGCTGTTTGTGTTCCTCGTAGGAAAGAGCTCTGCTTTGCTCGTGGAAAGTTCTTGTTTACTCTATAGCCCAGAGGCTCCTTCTCGGGGTGCTGGTTCTTGGGTAGCAGGACTGAATTTCTAAAATTAACAATGTAAAGCCATTATAGTGTTTTACAGATTCAATATCATTTCAGAATCATGCTATCAAGAGAGCACGTCAGGAATAAACACTGCATAAGCTTATTTAACAAGATCATACCCTGGGCTCAGTGTGCTGTCTTCTCCCTGGGAGCCGAGCCTCTGCTGGGCGTCAGGAGGGCGCCTGGAGCTGCCATTGCTCTCCCAGGACCAGGGCTGTCAGCACATCGCTGTCCCAGTGGGTGGTGGGGAGGGATGGGGCCCCAGAGTGCTCCACACTCAGCCGCTGAGCGTGTGGGTGCCTACCCAACTTCTGCTGAACCCGATGTGGAGTGTGCAGCTCTTCCGAATATCTTGGGGACCCCTTGGAACATCAGCAGAGCTGTGAATGAGCTGCTCTGCAGGACCCCCCTTTCAGAAGCAGTGAGTGGACTGTGCCTGCCAAATGGGTCAGTGCAGGATGAGGGGGAGGAGTGGGGGGGCCTCAGACAGGACCCGCTGCCCAGAAAGGCTTGCCATCTCTGAGGTGCCTCCACCACCACCCTCATCTTCCTCCCCGAGGCAGAATCAGCCAGCTGCTCTTGAAGAGAAAATCGCTTTAGAAGCCCCCGATGTAGGGCAGTGGGTCCCCAAATCCAGGGACACCTCCATACCAATACAGAAGCACACGTGACTTCGCCACCTAACCCTGGCACATGATAACTGAGTTAAAGAGTAATGTACGCAAATGAATTTCCCTCCACAGCAGGTGGGGCCATGATTGGGTTATGCACAAATTCAGATTGATTTGCTAATACACATTTAGCTGCTCAACTCTGAGCTTAATCGTGTTACCTCACCAGTCTTCCAGCGTGACACATGGAAAATTATGAGGAAGAACAAATAATAGAATGTGAAATAAATCCTGTTAGTGCTAACACGGTTAGCCTGTGCGCAGACATCCGTGTTACAGATTCGAGCGGGAGGAATACTAACTCCGAGACGATGACATGTAACTGAGTTACGGAGGGAAAATGGGCTTAGCGCTGACCTTTCCTGAAGTGTGTCAACCCCAGCCTGATGACTTTGACTTTAGCTGATTAAATTTGCTCCTTGCGCAGACTTGCCAGCCGTGGCGATGCATCATCACGCAAAGTTGAGTGACAATAATGGAGACCCTCCTCCCAGCCCCCAGTTCCTGACAGATCGTTTCCTGAAGTAGCTCAGTATTTATTTTCCTTTATGATAGAAATGTTTCTCTTTAGTTGCTATGAAATTAAGCCTTTGTAATTGGATTTTGAACTCTTTACTTTATGACTCTGCAAATATGAAATTAACCCCATCCCAAGAAATAATAGAGCAGTCTAAGTTCTAATGAGATTACCCCATTCTCGATAATGACCCTGAATTTAATAAATCAAACAAAGCAACAATTAAAGACAGCCATCCCTTTCTCCTCCCCCTCCCGGCAGGAGGAGAAAAGCCGTCCAGGAATGACAGGGCACAGGCATTCTGAGAGACACAGATCACAGGAGAGCTGTTACGGGGTTGCTTCTCGCGTTGAAATATCTGCTGTCAGCACTCTGAATGACGGAGTCCTTCCGAGCCATCGCAGCTGTCAAATTGGACAAAAGTAGAAGGTGGTTTCCGGAGGGAAGAGAGGGTCTGAGTGGCATCTAGTGTTCAGATGATTGTCTACAATCCGATTAGTTTTGTTTTTAATCATTTTCCCTTTCTGGTATTTGTTTGGTCATGTGATAAACAGAAGACCTACCTTCATTCCATTTGTGCTCAACCGCCCCTATGGGTTAGGAGCCACTGACAGTCCTCGCGTACATTGGGGTGATTTAACATCCTAGAGCATAAGATTTCCTGAAGTCTTCGAGATGTTGTTATTGTCACGTGGCCATGCACAGGAGGGCAGGTTTAGACAATGCGATGCACACCGAAACACACCACTCGTCAGTGGCTAGAGTGTGTCTCCAACTCGGACAAAGACATATCGTGGTCTGGAGTGAGTGTCTCACACAGGCATGTCTGTGGCCTCCGCGGGCCCAGCTGTGCCAGGGTGGTGGGCGAGGCTAGCAGCTCGTTGCAGCCGGGCCGCAGAGAGACCCTTGCCAATCTGGCTAGCTCAGCGCTGCCGCGCCACAGCCCTCCTGGGGACCAAGTGTCGCAGTCTAGAGCACCTGCTCTAACAGTTTACATGCTGCTCTTTAAGGGCACAACTACAAATGTCAACCACCGCTGGTACTGAGCCAGCTTCAGAAGTAGTTAGGTCAAAATGATGGAGTATGTAAATGCTGTGTTCGTTCCTCTCGTGACCCTGTCAAAATTACAACCAAATTATAGGGCGGTCAACCTGGAGAATCACCTGCAGACTAGCTGTACTGAAGCCTGTAACTAAGGATTAAAGAAGAAGCCACCTCGAGACTAGTGGGAGGGAAGGAGAGGAGAAACGGAGCGGCCCCCGCCCACATGTCTGGTTGAGAACTGAAGGAATATTTCAGCTGCAGAGGTTCCCCAGAGAAGGAGAGATCCCAGCCCCACACCGGCCCCGGCCTGGAGCGCCGGTGCCAGGGAGAGAAGCCGCCGGAACTCTGGCTGTGAAAGTCAGCGGGGGTGAGGAGAAGGGCTGCTGGAAACCCAGATGTCCTACTGAAGGGCCCACACAGACTCGCTCACAGCCACTCACCCCGGGCTGGCGTCAAGGGACAACAGCAGCTCAGAGGGTACTGGAGACACACAGGGAGAAGCCGAGTGTGTGGCTTCAGGGCTGGAGGGACAGCCGCCACTGTCCCTGCACTGAGCCTTTCTACGGCAGCAGGCAGGCACCGCCTTTGTCGTATGGGCTCTTTCATCAAGTTGTCAAACCCGAATCTGCATTAGCTGGTGAGCACCACTCACCCCACACTGACGACTGATTCCCTGGGTCCCAGCCCCAGCCAACTCCCACACCACCGGAGGCTCTTTCAGCAGCAGGCAGCCTGTCCAGGCTGAGCTGTGGTCTTTCCTAAAATCCTCCCAGGTCCGCAGGCCCCAGGCAGGCAGCAGCTCCTGTGCCCTTTCGAAGTG